TAAATTGAAATGAAATATATAATACTATGTATTTGTGAGGTAATAGTATTCTTTTTCTACATGGTTTTGGGCCAGATGACAGCAAAAAGCTACCACAAGGCTCTTTTTACTCTATACTAATTTCTAGAAAAAAAAAGAAAAATACGGTGTTTCCTATTTCCCCAATTCAGGAAATTTGCTTCTGGGGATTTCTGTTTAACATGTCCCTGTGATGAGTTAGAAAACGGTATATTCCAATGTATGGACCGTAGGTCAAAAGGCTTGGATTTTGATGTTGGCTATAATGATTTATTGTATAAATGCAAAGGATCTGCTCTGTCCTTTTGTTCTCGATTCCTCATCTTCTCTCTCATGATAATAATAAAAATAATAATGGTTGATTGCTGCCTTGGTGCCAGAAGCTGAGACAAACCCTTCACTGGCATTATCATTACTTTTAATTCTCATATCAACTCCATGGATTGGTGGAATTGTTATGTCTTTTTTATACAGAAGGAAACTGAGGCATAGAGATGTTCAATAAATTGTCCAGGACTATCAACTAATTAGTTTCACACTTGATCCAACCCTCTTAACTAAGAATTCCATGGGTACCCTAGGCCTGCTGCAGTCACCATCCACACTCCCTCAGTCATGTATTGGAGACAAAGAGAAAAGTTAACATAAATATAATGAAAGAATAATGAATGGTAACATGGATGGTAGTAATTACCACTCATTAGATACTTGCTTTGTGCTCTGGGTGTATAATCTCAATTGGCCCGTCATACTAACCCTGTGACATAACCATTATTATTATTGCCATTTTAAATTTGAGGGATCTGAGGATTTACAGGATTAATCAGCTTAACAGAGGTTATTCAACCAGGAAGTTGCATAAATAAAATATCATTTATTTGATCCCAAAGCCAATGTTTGCGATCAAAGTGACAAACTGTACGTCAAAGTTATATAGCCAGACAAAAATAATCTTGAAGCTAGGCTGCTCCTCTGTCAATAGAAGATTTTGCAATTTTCATTTCTGTAACTCCCCGCTAAAACTTTTTTCTAAAACTCTAAAGATCTATGACATGACAGCAGGGAAATAGATTTTAGCCCTCTGAAAGATACTTTCAAGCAACAAAGCACTGCTCTGTGAGCTAGCCTATATCTACATAGGCAACATACAATACAAAGCTGAGTTTTTTGTCAGAAGAAGGAAAGTCTTCTCAGATTCTATTGCAGAGCTTGGGTATGGGCCAGCCTGGGTCATAGATACGACAGGATGTCATATGTAAAGGACAGCTGGTGTCAGAAAGTTCCATCAGCTCTGGCTTCTTGCAGATATGACATCCTTGTGTACCTCCCAGGCAAATAACCACAAAGAATCATTTCAAACCTTTTGGATAAACCAACTAGTTCCAGTCCTGGCTCCACCACTAACTAGCAGTGTGAGCTTGAACAGATTACTCTATGCCTTAGCTTCCTAGTTTGTAAAATGAAAATAACAGTAGTGTCTCCCTTGTAGGGATGGTGTTAAGATTGAATGAATTAATACATATAAATAGCTTAGAAAAGCGACAGTACCTAGTAAGCATCCAATAACTGTTAGATGTGATTGTTGATATCTGTCAGTTTATCTTTATACCTCCAGAATATTATTTGTAAAGATTCTCTTAATATGTGTCAAATGACACAGATACATGATTATTCACTCAATCTCATGAAAGATTGGAAAAATATAAATTATGTAATTTGATTTCATAAATTGTGGTATTTTAACATGGAATGCTTGCCAGCTATAAGAAAGGATTAAGAAACTTTTTATGACATAAGAAAATGCTCCATGGTGTGTGTCAAAGTAAATAAAATGCAATATGCAAACTGTTACATTATACCACTGATGGGAAAATACTGTAACTTCATATTTGTTCCTAATGTACTTAATATCTTCTTACACGCATGATAGATCTTTGGTACCTAATAAACTGAAGCTTAAAACATGGTTTCAAGTTGGAGAGTGGGTCCTGGGCAGATGAGGAGAGCAGTGACAGGATGACTTCCTTTCCGTGTTTTAAATCAACTCTTTCCCTTGACTAACCAACTATGCTTTATTATCATCATTATTATTTCTTTTATCATCAGAATTTTAGTCAGGTAAGAAGAGACCCCGAAAGAAAAAAGTCAAGAGAAGAGATGTCAAAAAGCAGTTGCCAAAAAACACACTTCATAAATTTTGAAAAGTTGGTAGGCCCAGTTCTGGATAATAGTGCATCTTCCTGCTGTCCACCTCTCTGTGGTTCAGTGTCTTAGGATGCCTATTGCCCTAGATTTCTGTAAGTGGGAAGATCCTTTTTTCTCAACTGCCGATTACATAGCTGATTATGTGTGTGGCAGAGATCAGTGCTTCTAGGCTTCTGACTACTTAGTTTAGGCCTTTCAAATCTTCTGGCAAGATGAGTTGAAATATGGGATGTAAATCCTCCTGACAGACTGGCCTGTGCTCTTGCTGACTGCTCACAGGACATAGAGTCCAAGAAAAATGATAGACAAGAGTGAAGAAAAACTTTGAAGACAGACAAGGCAACACAATTTCTAATAAAACTCACAGTTTTATTTCTGCTAGAAAAAAGAGAAGAGAAACAGTCTGGGTTTTGTGTTTTGTTTTGTTTTGTTTTGTTTACAAAAAGTTTAAACAATTGGGTTTTTTTATTTGAGAAAGTCCACGGAAGAATGAAACCACCTTGGGTAAGAGAGTAGGCTCTTTCCAATCATACTGCACTCCCAAATTTTAATTCAATTAGAAAGTCTCTCTGAACAATCCCAGGGAAGCCTGTTTCATGGGTATCATATTCCTCAAAAGCATAAACAACAGATTCCCAAAAAATAACTGGCTCGTCTTAGAATGAAGGGGGGGTGGGAATCTAAGAATATTAACTTGCATAGCCATTCAAATTATTGCTGCTTTTTATAAAATCATTACAGGTAATTCTGCACTAACTTCCTCCTTTCGCCTCACCCCAAACTAGGAATTCCTAGAAAAATTATGAGCTACTTTCCAAACAAAGCCTTAGGGAGGGTTTGCAAGCACATGTACGGAGCCCAAGAAATTTGCATGAAAGGAAGGGAGAAATAAATTAAATAAATAATATCTAATAAATAACTCCAACAACATTCATTATCTACAAACTTAAATGCCAGAAAATGCTAGATCCCCCACAGCATCTCACAAAGGTAAATGCCAGTATAGCCTCAGAAAGGATGGCTTTGTAAACAGTTTACTTGCCTTTTGCCTCTAGAACAGTGTGGTGAGGGGAACCACTTTGGTAGTTGGTGGGATTTAAGATCTCTCTGCAAGGATATTTTCAAGGGGGTTTACGAACCAAGGGTGCAAAATATAGCAGGGCTAGCACTGCAAGCAAAATGGAAAGAGGGTAACTTAGACTGTAAGGAGATAATAAATAAGAGGGTTAAAAATTCAAGATACACAGATAGTTTGGCAGGTTTTAGGGGATAGCTGAGCTGTAGAAAACAGCAAACTAATCTGCCTTATCAATTTTATTCATTGGCCCTATTTGTGTACCCTACATCCTAAACTTATCCTCTCTGGCAGGAACAGGATGAGATCCACTATCATGCAAACCATTTAGGCTTTTAGTTTGTTTTAAATAATTGTCCTGGCAGATTGAACAGGCCAGTGAAATTTCTCAGATCACATTTCTCTGGGAAAAAAATTGACAAAATTAGTGCTGATATAAAAGAAAGAAGAGTTACATGAAGAAAAATAAACACCCTGCAAATCAGGATAAACTTGTGATGAAAACATAAATCGGGAAAAGCATTCACTGACCTTGGATTTGATTTCTGCATCCCTATGTCTGCTCACTTGGGAAGTTATCTACAATATGTAACAACATATTATGTTTTTGAAGTGAGGAAGAGGTAACAATTAGTGGGGGAGGAGATAAAGAATTGTATATGCATTGGAAGAATTCAAGTTTGGTCAATAAATTCACTGGTGCTTATCCTTCTAGAAAATATAATAATAATTGGTATGGACAGAGGTCAGCGGTTTTAACCATGTTTTCTGTAACCAAATGCAATTTATCTTGCCAGAGAAAATTTGGTTTTCCTATGGGCAGGTGTGAGATAGAAAGTCCCCAAACTATGGTTATTTGGTATAACCAATAGCCATTTTATTGCTCTTGAATATGACCTGGGTTGTTGGTTGATTCCAATAGCTGCACCTGAGCATCTTCAGAATTTCCAGAGCCTTTGAGTTATTGAGGCTATGAAATGGTCTAGATGACTTCTCTGAGTCCCATTGGTCATAAGAGTCTGGGGTTACAGTGACTTTCTTGCCCCACCTCTAGTACTAAGGAAGTGTTTTTGAAGTATTATCAAGAATCAAGTTGATATGAGATCCCTATTATGGTTCTCAAATTACTAAGGAAGGGATGGATGTTCAGCTTTCAGCCAATAAGAAATAGAGCTAATCTCTTAAAGAACATGCTCTGTTATTCACAGTGAAAGCCAAGTTAGGATTTTACCTTTGGAGGCTATTTTTAGATAGATGCAAAAAAGTCCTACCAAGTCCCAGAGAAAAATGCATCTTGTCCTCCTTTGGCAACTCCATCTAATCCTTCCACACATACTGTCCATTTCCTATTATTCTTCAATCCTTTCAGTTTCAAGAAGTTTATAGGCATGATCCCCAAAGTTATTGAATTTCAGAGCTGTGAAGGACTTTAGAAATCATCTAGACTTAAAACAATTGTCCAATTTTACCAGTAAGTAAACAGAGGCCAGCAATGGAAAATTAATTGACATAGATCTTTCAATGAGTTTTTGGCATCATTAGAATAGGGCCCAGGGCTTCTGTTTTATTTCCACATGATTGTAAACAGTCTAATAATTTCACTTGAGAACCCTAACTAGAGGAATCAATACGATATGGGAAGCTGATGAGAAAAGAGTGTGTCAGGTGCAGGAGGGCCCAAATGGACTGGGGCTATTGTGTCTGATCTATATCTATAGGGTTCCTTTAAGGTCATTGAATCTTCAGCTCAACCACTTGAATTATGGAAAACATTCCCACGTTATCCTCTGTAATGCTTGTCTTACTGCCCTAATCAGTAAAGATTGTATTAAGTTGGGCCCCAATGCCATGGTGGGGGTAGGAATCATAGGACATATCTATGGGAACATCATAGTGAGGGGTACCAGCCTGAAAGGGAGTTGAATGCACATGCCCTGAGCTTAGACTTGCAGAGGGGTAATGTGGCATGAAGCTGTAGGATTTATCCAGGTCAGGAGAGCCATCTTGCTTCAAGGAGAAGTTCCCACTGATGCTCAAGGGTGGAGTGAGTGGGCCCTCATAAGGTGGTGTACTGCAGTCAGGTGGATGGCTCCCAAAGGATGATTCTCCCAAACTCTTGAATACTGGGGGTTTGAGATTAATAAGATGTGTTTCCATATGGCCATAAGGAGGGCTGGGGAGCCCAGGAGCCTGATAGTTGAAGTTATGGACAGAAATGGCAGAGTCACAAATAGGAGATTTCTCCTCATGCTTCTCCAGGAGGACAGACTGAGGGCCCAGCTGGAGGCATCCAGCCACCAGGTTGCTTGTAGGCTGAGAGAGCCCTTTACAGAGCATCTCCACAAAGCCCTTCCCTTCAGGTGTCTGTCCAGTTTCCAGGACCTCAGACAAAGCCCAAATATAGTTCCTGGCCAGTCTAAGAGTCTCTATCTTGGAGAGCTTTTGGGTCTTTGAGTAACATGGCATGACTCTCCTCAGGTTGTCCAGGGCATCATTCAAGCCGTGCATCCGGGTCCGTTCTCTAGCATTGGCCTTGACTCTCCGAGCCCTGAATCTCTCAAGGCGAGCTTTTGTCATCTTCTTTTTCTTCGGACCCCTTCTCTTAGGCTTTTCCCCATCCTCTTCCTCCTCTTCTTCCTCCTCAATACTGTCATGCTCTTCAGCTAAGCTGCCAAGCATCCCATAAGCAGCTGGTCTTCTCTCCTCCTCCTTCATCTCATTCTGAGAGCCCAGACCCTTGTCCATCCAGGATGGTGTGTTGACCAACTCTGTCATCTCCTTGGATTTCACATAAGGTTTTGCCATTCCTAGATTCTGGAAAAGGAAATGACAATGATTAGTGTCTGTGAATATCTGCTTTAATTTAAATCTAAACTTTCTTTTATGTTTTAGATATAAAGCACAGAATTGTATTAGGATTCAACTTATGATTATCTAATCCAAGTCCACCATTCTAAATAAGTAATCTAAGACTCAAATAAATGCCCAAAACACTAACATAGCTATGGCATATTACAAGAAAATCAACTAAAAAAAATGAAAATTGACTTGATTATTCATTGTAGTGCCAGTGCCTTACTCTTTTTATTTGGTGCTTTGTCTCATGGATACTTTATGCAAAAATAACATATAATAGTCAAACATATTTTTCCTTCTTATCAAAATCCAGATCATAAAAGGAAGTACATAAGGTGGGCATATAAATTATTGTCCAAATAGAGAAATTCCTGAAAGTAAGAGAGGATGCTAAAGTAATTATAACTATATAATATATATAAAATAATTATAATTACTACAAAATTTGAAAAGAATATTAGTAAGTAAACTGTTGTATTTTACACTATAAAATAAATGAAACACTGTGGTGGGATCATTCAGACTTTGCTCTCCAGAGAACTGCCCAGCCTCTATTTAGAGACATACCACATACATTTAACCTATAACATTCCATGTTTCCCACTGACTCCACCAACTGTTAGGTTCAGCCATCTTAGGAAAGAACCATACCACAACTGGCTGGTACCCACGTGACCATGAAATATTTCTCTAACCATCACCTGAAGAGCATTTTGTTTTTCAGCAAGCACCTTGTGGTCTGTCTAGTGTAGTGGTGTTAGAGGTATTAGTGATATGGTGTCTAAAAGGATCAGGAAAAGAGAGCAGGGTTACCACTGACCATTTTTTTAAATTCGCCCATATGTTACAGTGAAAACTCTTTCATTGCACATGCATCTCACATCATCAGACAAGACTATGGCAGAGCAACTAGATTTACAAGCTAGAGGTCTACAAAGCTTATTTAAGATTATTTTAGTGCAACTATTATAATAATACTTCATTAAAAATGAAAAATCTGGAACAAATGCTAAACTTAACAGAACATAGTAGCTGCAAACATTGAAATAGCCTGACTACTTTAATTCACTTGCCTAACAGATAGTGTTTAATCAGAATTTTCTTTGACAATATTGCAGTTTGAAAACCAGAAGACACCAGTGGTTTAGTAAACACTTTGTGTTCAATTCTGGAAGAGTGAATTGTTTTGAGATTTGCTGATCAATTTGTAGGTATATAATTTACCAAATAAAAGTATCTGAGAAGCTCAACTGGGGCATCCCTGTTTACCAGCTTAGTCTTTGAAATGTTAAACCTTCCATCACTTTTGTATATCAGAAAGGAGAGAGCATGATAAATGTTTTTTGATCCTTAAAGCTTGGGCCTCAATCAATGAAAGCAGGATTTAGTACATAGATTTTAAAAATATAAATATATGATTTGATTTGTTTCTGGTAATTTGAACTTGTTTTCCTTGTAACCTCATTTACCTCCTATAAATAATTAATGTTACCACATTGCAAAAACAGCCTAGGTTTCATGTTAATCAGCACAGAAATCATGTCAGCTTGACTTACTCACTTAATAAGGCTTCCTGGGTAAGCAGCTTTATTGAAAACACACGTTGGAACCTATTGGTCAACTGGCTGCCCAGGCCAAGTTAGAAAATCCCACTTTTAATATGGATGATGGAGCTTGTGTGCTGAGCCGCACTTCTAACTCAGCCAGATATCCAGAGGGAGGGTGAAGGACCTAATTAACTTTCTGTTAAAGTAACACAGACCTTTCTGAGGCAGGTGCACTCTGAGGCCAAAGAGGATGGAGTAGGCTTGGGAAATGCAATGTTCCACACGTAATTATAATAATGTTTGTGTAGCCTTATAACCAACCTTTGAGGGAAATAGGGATTTATGCTTGTTTTGTAGTTGAGGTCACTGTGGGTCAGAGATTAAGTGACGGAAATGCAAAGATGTAAAGCTGATAGAGCAGGACATAAAACCAGGTCTTCTGATTCCAAATCCTAGGTTTTATGTTTTTTTTTACCTTTTTTTTCCAACACAGCTACAGGAAGAAAGAGAGGCACTTTGACTTCAGGAGATGTGGATCAGTAGAACCAAGTCACCAGGAAATGACCATCATCCAAAGAGAGGCTAGTTTAGGTGTTCTTTGCAGTGTTAACTCTCCTATTCCAGGATTCCTTCCTCTTCCAAATTTTTTTCTTGTTGTTTCCACCCTTTTATTCTCCCACCTTCTCTTACTCTGCTCCCTTCTCCTTTTTTCTCTTCCTTTTATTTGTCTTGTCTCCTCTTTATCATCATATCACTGGGTCATACTTACATGCATGGAGAGTTGAAAAGGAAGATGCAAGAGAGGAAAGCAGAGTCTCCTGAATTACCCCTGAAATTGAATATCATCCTAGCCTCTGTAATTGACATTATTTTATTATTAATTATTATTATTATTATTATTATTATTATTATTATTATTATCCCCACCTCTCACCTCTGGACACTAGCCAAGCTCTGTCAATCCTCACCGTCATCAAAAAGTGGGATTAGGAGAATAGAGTTAGACTATCCTTTGCCTTCAACATAACTTAATGGTCCTGTAAGAGCCAAAGAGCTGCTTTCAAATCAGATTATCAGCAGGTATGAAGGAAAACAACCAAATGGCTTTGGCTAAAACAATGAAAAGGGCAAACAATTTCCAACCATGGAAAGGATAGATGACTCCAGTTTAACTCTCTCTTTTCCCTAGATTCTGGTCCCTTAGCTCTAAGAGAATCCCATGGGTATATAGTATGGCTTTGAAATCTTGGAAGCTGGAATACACACACTCTAGGCCCAACTGTTCTGATTCCTGGTTGCTGATCTCAAACATATTACATGACTCTCTGATCTTCCATTTCCTCTTTAATAAAATAAGAATAAGGCATATTCAAGATGGTTCTTGCAAGATAAATAAAAATAAAAGATTTTTTAGACTTTAAATGCTATAAAACATTATCCATATATTGATCTTGTGTTTATTCTTGAATTCTCTTATCTAATCTATTTACACATTTGCATATTCAAAAATAAAAATTGTTTCTCACAGTTGAATAGTAAAAGTAGATTTTACTAACTACTGTGCCTCTTTTATCTTGAGGGAACCTCCTCTGATTGGCTCAAAAGATAATCTGACAATTGCCCAATAGCCCGCCAGTTTTCCCAGTGAGGCTGGACAGCAGACTCTGGAGTCAGATTACTTGAGATTAAGTTTCAGTTCAATTACTTACTAGATGGGTGACCTTACCCAAGTTTCATAACCTTTCTGTGCCTCATCCCCTCTCTTTAAAATAGGAATAATAATAGTCCTACCTCATAGGATCATTGTGAGCATAATGAGCTAATATATCTAAAGACTTTGAATAGTGTCAGACATCATAAATGCCATGTAAGTGTTAGGTACTATTGTTCTTAAAATTCATCATGACTTTTTCTGGCCACATGGACAAAAATAAGTATAATTGCAATCTGTGCTTACTATTGATTTTATGCCAACAAAAGCCAATGGCTCCATCTCAACAACCATTTTCAAAAATGTTTGACAAACCCCCTCCTCCAACTTCCTACTAAAACTAAATAACAAAGCTTCTATCCTGGTGCAAGAGGTGAGGACACGGTGCTCTATCAGCTGCCTCTACCAGATTGACTAAAACTCTTCACCATATTCAAGGAGGACGTTAGCCTCTTTCATTCTGTTTTATAACTGGGAGACAGCAATTTGCTGAACACTCCTACTCAGTTACATGAATTTTTAGGTTCATGAAGTTTCTCGTGGAATACAGACAACTCTTGGCCCCTGGACATTTTTCCTTTTGTCTTTGATTAAACACTATTGGGGATAAGACTTTCCTACCAGAATCAAGTGCCAAAGCTTTGAGGAAAAAAATAAAGTGTCTCTCAAATAGAAGTAAAATCCAGGACTCCTCAAAGATTTAAAAAAAAATATATTGCTTTGCCTTTGACTTTTTCCACCTAAATATCTCCAATGCATCAAAAAGTTAGCAGAGGGGAAAAGATGATGAACATCCAGTTTTAGACTTGAGAATTGAAAATGTGTGTGGTATAGTTCTGAGTTCTGATCAAGGAAAGCAACTTGGTTCTCTCCAGAACAAGTATCTGATTCTACCATGGCTTTAGCCTGTCAATGAACTAGCTCAGAGGTGTACTGAAAGAATCATGAAACTGAGACCTTCTGCACTTATTTATTACTTACCTATTAAATGAGTACAGAGAAATCATTTTCATTTTTTTACCCTTAGGGCAAAGTGGAAATAATATTTTTGTCTTCCATATCTCACTTAGAAGCTTTTATGAAAAACAAGGAAATCAAGCAAAAGTACTTAGACTTTGTAAAGTTATTAGGCAAACGTAAAGGCTGGCAATTGTTTGATAGAAGCAGTATGGGAAAAGCGCTACACAGAGTATTGTGATACACCATTTTAAGTTTCCCCAATTTTTACAAAAGAAATTAGCTCTCAAAATATACATGAAGCTGACTCCAGTGTGGCAAAAATCGATGAATACTGGCTCTGGGGGTAGAATACAGCTTTCCCGACTCCACCCTCAAATGCATTCTAATTCTCTAAAGCCCATTTTATTCTTTGATCTTAGAATTTGGACATCCTTACATATCTACATGTTATGACAAAATTTTCCCTTTTCTTTAGGGTCTTTCTTAAATTTCACATTTAGCCCATTCTCTCAAATTTGAAATTGTCTCTCACTCTTTTTTTGAACCTGTTCTAGCAAAATGCTTGCTTAAGCAATGACTGTGACTACCCAATACTTTAATTCCTGGGGCTGAGGTCATTAAGCATGACTCTTACATGAATCTGTACTGGAACTCATCTGACACTTTTACTAATTTTTTATTTGTTGTGGAGAAGTTTCAATTGATGAATAAGTGAGCAAGGAGTACTTGGA